GTTTGTACAGCTGGGTATTAGTTCTTGTGATCAGAGTAAAGCATTCCAAGCTTTTTCACTCTGACAGGCAACCTGGCAACTCAAAAAATAGTAATACACCATTCTGGCAAGAGGTAATCTACTGCTTCTGTGACAGAAGAAGCACACAAAGTTACTCCACACTCTTAGAATATTCTGTCTGAAATCAATCCTGACATTGCAGCATTTCACACGTCACCTCTGCCATTCTGCATCACAGAATAAAGTAATGACAGTAACTAGAGAATTAGTCTCCATCTTTTCCCTTTTTTTCCTGGCCTTTTGAAGTTTGCCCTACTGCTAAGTTATATTTTGGCCAACCTACAACAAAACTTGCAAGGTTTGAACTAATGCCTACAGTAAGTAGATCATTTACCTGGGTATTTCTCCAGCTCTCGCAGCTTAGTCTCATTGATGTCTGTAGCAATGACTTTGGCTCCTTCTTTAGCAAAAGCCTGAAGAATACAGTAAGAAATGTAGTTTATATTTAAATATGCTAGATTTTAGCAAAAGGTCTGTTTTCTTTGCATTTGCCTTTTGGCTTGAAATAAAAGTTGACTGAAGGCAGCTAATCTCCCCCTTCTCATTGTGGGCATGTGAGGAAGTAACAGACATCAATTACCAAACACCCTGGGGATAACTATTACGGTGGTACTGAAGTAACTCCATAGCTCCTCTGTCTCCTTTGGAAAAAGGAAGCAACAGGAGCAGAACTCGTCAAAAGAAATTAGACGTTAACCAAAATTGAAACAAAACAAACACATTTAAATTCTGTTTTAAGACTAATATTTTTGAACGGTTTTTCTCACAGTTGCCTTGTAGCTGTGCTCTTCATGTGGAACTGGTTACATCAACTATCAGCATAGTAGAAACATCTTGGCTTTACTTGGGGGATCTTTGCAGTGGCCAGCCTTATAAACAGAAAACCTCCCCTATATCCTTATCTTCTCCCAGAAAAAAAGCAGCAGAGACATTGGATTAAAAGGCACAGACAGTACAAACGTGTATTGTTAAAAGTAGGTGCAACTGCTCTTAAATCCTGCCCACGTGGTTTATCGCCACTCTGTGCTTAAGACTTTCAGAAGTTAACGCTGCCAACAGCTTACCTAACGCAGTGCAGTAACTACATCGTTCCCTGATTTTTTTTCAGTAAGTTGTTCTGGCTTAATCTGTAGTTTACTAATTCAAAAACTTGTTTGGTGCAGATGATGTTGGGCATTCTAGTATTAGAGACCTAGCTTTGGCACAGAAGAAAAATATTTTTCCAACTTACGATAGCAGTGGCTCGTCCAATGCCCTGTGCTGCTGCAGAGAGCAGTATTACCTTCCCATCAAGCCGCCCCATATTGCTGACCTGTGCAGACAGAAAGTGTCACAATCTAACAAAGTGAGTTAACATCACTTCCAGGGAATCAGATTCAAGTGTATTCCAAAAACCAACCGTAATCCAGAGCACCTCTACCATCAAGTCAAAGCATTCTGATTAGGTGCTGAGTCAGAAGAGAAGTAAAATGGGTTGTAATGCCTACTGCCCACTGTGTTCTTAGCAAGCACGTCTCTTTTTCTGCTCCTCTCAAACTGTAGACTTAGCTTCCCAAACAGCAATAAAATCTGCACACTACCCTGGAGGGCACTGCAGAAGGTCTTTTCCGTCCATCAGGTCCAAGACCTGGCCTTTGTGCGCTCTGAATTGCTTTAGGAATCTTCCAGCACAGCAGATTTCCAGCTCCATAAGGTGAGGGGATAAAGGGGAATGAAGCTGTCCTCTCATCTTTATCACAGTTTGACCTCTGAGAACTACTGAGCATACTCAGAGCAAGGTGTAGGGGAATAAAAGGATTTATTTTTCTAGTGTTTGACAATGCAAATAATATTCTACTTTCAGGAGGTTCCACCTTGCTTATGACATATCAGCCAAAAGACAAACTGAGGTCCTCTTTTCTGCCTAGACATACGCTTTCAAATGCAGAATTATGTTTAAAAAAAAAAACATAGCATGTAAAGTTGCAAACAAAATCAAATGCCATCCTTTGTACTCCTACGGGTTCAAAAAGTCCCTAGTAGGCTTTTTGTTTAATCAAAGCCTAAATTACTGAATAGAACGTTTCAAAAAACTACTGAAGAAGGTCACTGTATCCCAGTGTGATCTGGTTTGGTTAACTGAGTTCCCAACAAGCAAACATTCCTACACTTTTAAAAATCACAGAACAAAGTTTCTCTATTTAGCTACGAGTGTAGAAAGGTTTCCCAAGAACCTCAAGTTCTTAAAACACTTGTGTAAACCCACCATGCTGAGTACTTCATTCAGAAGTTAGATGCAGACCCACTATTTCCCCTAGGTCAGCAGCCAATGCTAGCACCTGGAGAGGCTCAAATCCATCCTGTGATTTGTTAGTCGAGTTCAGTGTGCTGCATCTCCAACCAGACTATTCATTTCTGATTTTTTTTTTTCTGAGAAAGCAGATAGGATTTCTGGTCAGTTTTTCCCAACAAAACCTGGGGCAAAAGTAGTATGTTTCTCTAAAAGTTGCAGATTCAACAAACTGAACTTATTTTTAAACTGTTTGACTAAAAAATTATTTCCACCCTAACGTAGAAACATTATCTCATTTGAATTAAGATTGGACTGACTTCTGGATTGTGTTTTGAGACACTGAAAAGCCTGAAACTGTAAGTTTTTCCCCCTATAACCAGAGGGAAGAACATACAAAAAGAAACCTCAAAAGGAAACTAACAAAGACAAACCACCAAAACAGTCCACTACACGACCTATAACTAAAATGCACCTTTCTAACTAGGGGAAAGAACAATACCTTAAAATCATTTTACAGGCTGGCTAGTAAAGCAGTCTCTTAGGATGCCTCTGATGGAGGCTATGTCACATTACATGAGACTGAGCGTATGTTAGCACAAGGTTTTTGTTTTGACAGGTGAAAAGTACCAAGCTAAACCAAGGGAAACGAGACGGTGCATTAGAGCAAGTACCACCTAGTCATCTGCACAAAGCTTTGCAAAACACAACTCCTGAAATAAATTCTGGGAAAAAATCATTCATTTTGGCAGAAGTCCCAAGTATCCCAAAAGTCTGGTGTTAAAGTGCCCACTCGAGGCAGAAATTCTTGTTCTTTGCTGTTGCATGCACATTTTCAGTAGAAAAAAATGGATCAAGCAATTCCTTGAATCACCACATAATTTTGGAAGCCTTTTTTAACCTAACAATCATTTTTAATGAATATTTGACACACTAATTCTATGAAGTTTTTAAAAATAAAGGTTAGTATAGTCACTCACCACAAGATCTCAAACAGCTTGTTGGGTTTACTGACCTTTGGAAAAAGGAAGTTTTACGCTCATTTGTTTTGCTATGCTTGTTGGGAGTTGTAGTCTAACTGGTAAGTTTCTCTACACCAACGCAGTTTCATGTTGAAACACCAAGATGCTGCCATCTAGCGAAACTCAAGATTTTAAGTGGGATTTTCTCCTGCACAGGTTAGGAATAAAAGAGGATCATGAACGTTAGATATCCGTTCCCCCACAAAGAATGCAAGAAATTAACAGGATTCTCACCAAAAAAGGCCACAACAATGTTCTTCCCCAAGCAATTGCTCTTTATCCATCATCAAATTTTAAGGTAGGACAATACTTGAAAAATAATTTCTTAATTGTTGATTTACTAAAGTAGCCGTTCTTAAATTTGTATCAGTGCTTTAACTTATATCTGTTAAGGCAGGTAACATCATGAGACTCAAAGATTCTATGACAAAATTGAATTATAAGCTCCCACCAGATCCAAGGCCACCCTAATAGTTTTCTTAATGAATTCAGAAAGCTGCCTGAATTCCAGCTGGGCACATTTCTGTGGATAGACCTGGACACGCACACAGGCACGTTCGGTCATATTATGCCACTCTTGAACTAAACAAAACACTAGTGACACAGATTTGTGCAACAGTAATTTGCTGCACAAACTGACTGCAGAAAGCTGTAAGACAGACAAGCAGCATAATAATGATGAAAGGGGTAAGATTACTATCAAAGACTGGTTTTAGACTGAATATTATAATCAGCATCCCCAAATCATACCATCATGTCTCCACAAAACCGAAGAGACCAGCAGAAATATTTTGAGATACTTAACACAAAGTTTATTGTCAAAACAAACCTTATACAGGACGTAAAAATAAGTTTCAAAATTCAGGTAAGCAGGATAGCAAAACAGTCTGCCATACAGCCCTGATTACAATTTATTTTTCACTCACTAGGGTAACTGCAGCATCAATTAGATCCATTGGTTACTGCTTGGAAAAAAATATTCAGATGTCACACTCCAAACAGGAAAGAGAAGTATGCTCAAAGATGATGCAAAATGCAAAGTTACTCCTGGCACCATAATTGACAGAGCTGCAGAAATATTGCATAGCGTTTAAGAGAAGTCCTTGATTTATTTTGTGCCTTAAAAAGAGAAAGTCCGTGAGATACAGAGGTTAAAGTTGTAGTAAAAATGCAGTATCCATGGCCTCAAAAAAAGAGAAAGTATAATACTTCTATATTGAGAAACAAAAAGTAACTAGTGAGAACAGAGAGATGTTGATTTGGAAAGAACTGAAGATACAAGCCACCCAGACAAGGACTCTTGCAGGAAGGCCAGAGAAGTTCGAGAAGCTTCACCGTAGCTTAGCTCGTGATTCATTCCTGTGTCCATTTTTCTTCAGTATGTTAGCTCTTCTTTTTTTGCTGTCCTGAAGATAACCAAAGAAGAACATCAGCAGCAGCAGGTTGCAGGCAACGTGACTGCTTTTTAAGTTTTGTTCTTGTACTGCAGCTTTGCCAGCTGGGGGAAGCAGCAGCAGCTCCAGGACAACAAGGGAACTGCAGCTGCCAGAGCTCTTCCCACAGCTGATGATTTAACCCGAAGAAACTGTCTTCCATAGAGGCGGATTCTGGATGTTACCACTGCAAAGGCAGCTTACAACAGAATACCTTCACTGGGTAGTACAATCAGGGGCTTTATCTTTCTCTGAAGCTCCAAGCCACTGGCTAAGAGGTTCTTCTTTGAGCTCTGTTCCTGCAGGTGGCACATCTATAGAGAACACAAGAATATTACAGTAATGCTTTCCCAGTTTCACAATTAGAGACAGCCTGACTAGGGCAGCTGTTACTGCAGCTGGAAGCTGCCAGACTAGGAGATTTCATGTCAAAGACTAAAATCGACCACTTCAAAGAAATTTAGAAAAAAAAGTTAACCAGCAGTTAACTCTGAATAGATGACTGAGCAACCTGTGAGAATCAGTTTTGCCAGAAGCAGGTACTTAACTCAGGTAACGTCAGAAAGCAAAAGATGTTATAGCATCATTTGTCTGGTAGGAACAATACTCTGCCCAGTCACTTTGAAGTGATTGATCATCAACACTCTCACTGCAACAGAAGAAATATGAAGTTTGCTTAATCTTCATGAATGTTTCAAGTATGTGGGTGCTGTACAGCACATATAATCTTTTTGGCACCAGCTGGTCAGCCCTTCCACCAAGGTATTAACAAGGCATTCAAGAACAGTTTCCGTGAGAGCTTTGGGACCGAATGCAGGAAGCACAGGACACCTACTTTTACTTGAAGACCCCTCCTTATATTTTGCCTCTCCTAATCTTAATCAGACACCATATTACATACCTGTTAGCGTACCTAAATTGGAATTATCAAAGAAATTTGTTGGACGCGTCAGTGGCAGAGGCTTTGATGCATCCTGAGTCACCGTTTCCTGAGAAAGAGGCTCTTTGAAGGACGGAATTTGCTCTTTAAGGGAATCTGACACTTTCTTCCCTGGAGACCTTGGTACTGTCTCTCTTGAAAATTTTTCTTTCAATTTTAGCGCTCTCTCTTTCCATTTTCTAAATTCGTCTTTCAATTGAGCCTCATTACTGAACAGGGGAAAAAAAAATCACCAGCATTTAATTACAGAAAACATTAAACAACTCTTTTAAGTCAAGAAAAATGCCTGACAAGACAGTTCCTGCATGTTCCTGTATGACAATTCCCTTGACATACCACAGACATGGCAATGCAAGCCCCCTACCACGACCAAACGTGTATTCTTAGTTTTGGAGGTATCATTTTCTTTTTTTCTTCCCAAAAGCTAAAGAGATCCAAACAAAACGTGTTTTCCAAGTATTAATAAAAAACATTTAAAATTCCATTCTCATGGAAAAAAAAGACAAACGATTTAAAGCTTCAAAGCCATCCAGAAGTATACATGCATACATCACCACCTTTAGAAGTTTAGATTTGCTAGACTCTTTCACATCTTCCAATTAAAAATTCTTCACTTCTACAGATGTCCAGAAAAGAAACTGTAACAGCAGAGGTTAAAGAGAAATGACTTAGTTAACGTGGCGCTTATTATCTTTATGCTTACCTTAGTAGATCATCAATTTGTTTCTTCAGCTGCAAGTTCTCTTTCTGTAGCTTCGCTTGTTCAGATTTTAAAACAAGCACGTGTGTGCTCTGAACTATACCACTGCCACCACCACAAGTAAGGGGCTTTTGGTATTGCTGAGGAGTTTCTTTAGACACCACTGGAAAATAGTTTTATACAAAAGCACGTGTTACTTGGTCAGGGTTTAAAACCACGCCAATATTTATCTTAGCCATGCTTATGCAAAATTCCTTCCCGTAGCCTTGTATGTAAAACCTCACTAGGTTCGAAGTATCATTACAACAGCTCTTTCTTAAACCCACCATCAGTAATCACACTGCCAGGGAGATATTAAGAAGTTTATGTGATTAGTTATATCCTGATTAGAGCTAGAGAACTAGAGATGGGAACGTAACCCACCACAACAGCAACCACAATCCAAGAAATAACAAACGAAACCAGACAAGAACTGCTGTGATTCTAATACAGCCTATGTGCAGCTACCGTGTTTCAGCCTTCCACCTCTTCCAAAGCATCCAACCCCTCTCATGGCCTTTTGAGGTAAAAGGCCTGCATCGAAGCCTAGAATTTAACCACACAACCTTAAAAACAGATGTTTAATATGAAACAATCCCTTATATTGATCCGGAATTTACCAGTAACGTCTTGATCTTGCTGTGCTCTTCTGAGTTCTTCTTTTAGCTTTCTTAACTGTTCTTCTTGGTGTTCTGCAACAGCTTTATAATTAGCAAGTCTGCATTGGTGGGCAGGGAGAGGGAAACAGAAAAAATTTAAGCTTAATTATTAAAGTTGCAAGAGACTTAGTTTGATTTTCATGTGTATTAACAAATACAAATGTATTTGAAGCAAAACAAAACAAACTACATCTGGCTGCCAGTTAGATTTCAGGTGAAGTACAGAAAAGCAAAAGTTAAATTATTATTATTAAATTATTCTGTGTGCATCCTTTCTCTCCATTGGGGTGTGGGGGTTAGGGAAGAGCTACCAGTTACAAACAAACAAACCAAACAAACACTTGAACTTACTGCATATCAAAAATCTTTGATTGCTTCGTTCTGTCCATGTCATATCTTACCAACTGTGTTTTGAGATTATCAATTTCTTCTTTGTACAACTCGGCACCTTTATTTAATTTTTCCTGAAAATAAAACAAGACACCTACTATGAAGAAAGGATTGCTAGCTAGCACCGAATACGGGGACTGCTTGCTTTGCACTTTTACTGCAATCTGCCAGAAGTTACAGGACAGAGCTGGAAGCAGGAAGTCATTCTGGGCTAAGAATGCCCAGATCACTAACCAGTACCATAGGACCAGTTGCCATCTGAACTCTGGTATAATGAACGCACTCCCATTTTCAGCAAGTTTTGCTGACTTGCTTGCAGATGTAATCTGGGAATCTTGAACTAGCATGCCAATAGATTATGCAGAAAAAAACAGCCCATGCTTCAGTTTCAAAACTTGAAGTTTAAGAATGTTTCAGCAATATATCAGAAGCAATAAATTTAGCTTCTAATACCCTAACATGGGTTCTAAATTTTGTCTCTGAAAGCAGCACTGGTAGCACGTGAAACAGCACGCTACAACACGTGAGCAGAGTGCTTTTCTCTAAGAAAACCACACCAAACTACAAATTGACTTTACAGCGCTCTCTGCTTCCCTCGCTGTAAGAATGAAACTAGAAAATAATTGGACTCCTACCTGGAGACTCCGATTTTCTGCTAGGACAGTGCTGAGGCATTTCTCTGTCTCATTCAGTTTGGCTTCCAGCTGGGTGAGCTCACTCGTAGCTGCTTTTACTTTCATCTGTGCTTGTAACTGATTAATCCTGTCATCTTTTTCTCTGACATTTTTTTCCTCTTCCTTTACTATGTTTTCCAACTTTTGGATTTTTACTTCCATAGCCTGTTGGGATATACCAACCACTTATGAGCAGTAACACCAAACCAAGAGTTATAACTATGTCGCTGCACAGCACAGGGGGATATTCTTAATCAAAACAAACAAAACAACAAACAAAACAGGAATTCCTATACAGTCTATAGCATTGTTCTGTTTCATCTGTTACTGTTCTGGGACATTCAACTCTAAAAAAACATGCTTTGAACACAAGTAACTGTGACATCAGAAGTATGGACAGAGGGCAAATGAGTGCAACCCCTACGAGTCATGACAGTTTTTATCCAGCTTCCAGTCTGACACAGAGACTGCTAAATAGTTAACGAATATCACACTACTGGAACCTATACTTCAGAAATAACTGGGTGCGTTTACAGAGATTTATAAACTAACATCTGTGCGTGTGTGTGCACAGAGAACTGACCGTTAAATCACATCACAGGCAGAGCTCAAACTTCCACTTTTGGAAAAAAAAGAAATCTACAAAAAGAAGTCCATTGTGGGCCAGTGTATCGTGTGACAGATTAACAGTCATCAATCTTCATTTTCTTTTCAGTTGAAAGTACTCTCACTTAGAAAATAATCATCAAATAGGTTTTCTTTAGAAAAATATTTGCACCTTTTTATCTTGTTCTGCAGCCTTTAAGCGGTTATGAAGTCTGTTGTTTTCTTCTTCTAGCAGAAGATGAGCAGAGCCACCAGGGGCCAGTTGTTCCTTAAGGGTGTTTAGTTCCTGAAGCAACTCTTCAGTTTTCTCTTTTGTCTGTTTGTATTCAGCATCAGCATTTTTGCAGTAGTTGGAAGTTCTGTCATTCAACTCTGAATTCAGTGGAGAGAATGTCTGAAAAATCAGTAATGAAGAACAGATTAAATTTTGGAACAAGCTAGAAATAAGTGAAAAATCAGGAAGTTTCTTAGCCTGTATTAATTTCACATTCCGAACTCCGTTGCACATTTGAAGACAGTTACTACCAAAAATGGAACTACTGAGACTCAAATGATCAGAACGCTGGAGTACCTCTCCTATGAAGACAGGTTGAGAGACCTCGGGTTGTTTAGCGCAGAGAAGAGAAGGCTGTTTTTGTTGTAAAAGCTTTGATTCACAGAATGACTATCAAAGAATTCTTCCTAAGAGCCTGTCAGCATTGGGAAATCCGGTAGAAGTCAAGGCTGACAAATAATTCTACAGAAGCAGCTTAACTCTTTGTCAATAGGCTCAGAGTGAGTCACATGTGCAGAAGGATGACGAGCTCTTCGTAATCTAGCCGAAAGAACAGCACGAACAGCCTAGTAACAAGCCTATGCTGGAAGTCAAGACAACTGCTGTTAAGAACTAGTCAGAAGGTAGAGGAGTCCCTCCCACAGCCTGTCTTCCAAGAGGTCTCCGATGTGCTTATTAAAAGATGTCATCTCATGAAATGCTCTTCATGATTCACCTCAGACAGCAGAACAGACTTTTTCCCAGTTGTGGGTGGTAGGAGGAAGAAAGAAGAGGGAAAGCACAGCTGAAAGACCTCTAGGATAATTTAACTTTCTGAAGGTAGAAAAGGTGTGAGAATGTCAATTACAATTAAGCTTTATCAAAAAAAATAAAAAACAAAAAAACCAAACAAACAAAAAACACTTCAGCCATTTTAAAGGCGGTTTGAAAAGAACAGAATCTTGTAGGCAGAAAGCCCGCAGAATGTGACTGCATCAGGCTGCCAAGTTCTACAAGGAAGGTTGTAGTAACAGTTATGAACCTACAGTCTCTAAGATTCATTCTCTTCAAGAAAACCACACAGAAAAACACCACCACATACACACAGAAAGCTGTCTCCCCGAAAGTCTTTTTAAACACAAATTTCCAAGTTTGAATGTAGGAGGAAGAAAGCTTGTAAAAATCTTCCAGGTATTCCTACATTTTACAGATAAATACACCTATAGCCAGTGCTGTTGGATAAACTGAAAATAATTAAACGAGTAAACTTTAAACTAGCTTTTTGTGTCTGTTTTCAACCAGGTTACAGAGGTACTTGCAGAGTGCTTACACAAAACGTATTTCTTATTCATTAAGTTCATTTACCTTCACTTTTGCAGTCCAGAACTTAATGACTTGTAAAAGCCTTTCATTGTCTTTTCTTAGCGCTTCTTTAAGTTCTTCTGCATCACAGTGGAGTCCTGAACAAGCTTCCCAGAACCGTGCTGTTTCTTTTCCAGCACTTTCTTCCTTCTGTAACTCTGCCTCTATGCTGAGAAGTTCGCTTTCCATTTCTGCTATGTCTTCGATAATATTCTGTATAAAGAAGAGACGAAGTTTAAGCATTGCCTTGATAACTACACGTTTAATATAAATTTTGCCCCCTTAGGTATCCATACTTACAGTAAGTCTGTTTTAACACCTAATTATAGAATATTTGCTAAGCTAAAGTGAGTTTTGCTGTACCTTACTGGGAAAATTAGAAAACAATCCACATTCCTGGGGATAGGTGGGAAGGTGAAAGGAGAAAAAGTTATCAAATTGCTTCAAAAATCATCTTAGGGTCAGGTAGTACGGATTCTTAAGGGCAAGTCAGTTAGAAACGCTTTATGAAACAGAGAAATCATTTGACGGGACTGGTAGCATTAAATATACGTGAATTCTGTGTTCCCCTCACCGCATTTGAGTTTAAACAGATAAAAACAATGCCCATCATGCTAGCACAACCACATTACGCCCTGTCTCAAAATAAACAAGCCTGTCTGAAAAGTTGTTTCAACCGCTACCTCTGCATCCGAATGCAAACTCTGCAGCACTTCGCCGACGTTTACCACTCGAGAAGGTATTTCCTTCTGGTTCAAATGAAACTCCTTGAGACACCGAATTTGAGCTTGCAGCTGATCTTGTTTTCTCTTTTCCTCAAGCAATTCCATTGCATACTTGTTCACAGTAGCATGATACTCCATTTTCTTGGAGCAAAGATGACGGAATTGGAACTGTCGTAGAAGCACAGGACATATCAGTGAGTAAGCTTTAGAACGCTACCTTGCACCCAGCTCAAATTCCAGATTTTATAATTCAGTCTATTTATTCTCCTAGCGAATAGATGTTTAGGACAACTGAAACATGACTACGAAAGCTACGTTCTCATGTCCTATAGCAATGGCATGGGAGACTTTCAGCTGGGTCGGCATTTTCTTTTTTCAAGGAGTCCACAAAAATGAGCTTAAAAGGCTAAGACAGCCTTCTACGTATCTAGACTTTGGTTTTCAAAGTAGTTTTGTTATGCTGATTTCATCCTAGAGTTGTTAAAGGCATAGAGTATCACTGTGCTAATTTAAAGCCTTACTCTAGCCGAGTAAATCTAATCTTCAAGCCTAAACACCTCGAGCATAAAAGTTGAAAAACATCTCTTGAAATAAGAAAAACATTAAATAGTCTACGTGAAGTTGGGAGATCACGTTCTTCAGAATATTTGTTAACATTTTTAGTTAATAGGTAACACTAAAATACAACTATTTGATATTTTTATTACCAGAATTGTCACCCCATCATCGTTCCACACCCCCACCCCTCCCAACCTAAACATTCACGGTAAATAAAGAAACTGAAACAAACAAAAAATACTATCTAGTTGGATGTGCTTCTGTTAATGCACACAAATTCTCTCTCAACCTCAATTTTTCCTGATAACTGGAATTTGTTTCTCCACTCAACTACAGATTGGTCTTCTGCAAGACCATACAAGTTAAACTACTTGGCAACTTTTCAGAACAAACATGCTCACCCAAGGCATCTTGCACATCCTTCCTCTCCGATGAAATATGTACTCAGAGGTCCATAATTTCATTTACAGACCACAGAGTACTTCTTTTCACACCAATGGAAATGGATTAACACTAATGAAATGTTGCTGTGCAAAGCAGCTGAACTATAGTCAAAAATTAAGGTTAGCTGATCTAAATGGCTCCAGTTTTCCAGGATTGTAATGGGCTTCGTGAATGCATGACTTACAGAAAACAAAACGCAAAACTTGAGCATATATACAGAGTCCTCGCTGTTAGTACTGAGAGCTTATTGGAAAAAGAAAGCGTGAAACAAAGCAACGTGAAGCATCCACATATTCAGCATTTTAAGTCGGTACCTTGAGTCTGTCCAATAAACGCTGGAAATGAGTGTTGATTTTCTCATTTTCCATTTGGAGTCTTTTGACTTGCTTATTTTGTTCTGGTGAAAGCTGAGTCAGTATCGCAGCTATCACTGCTTTCTGGCTATTCAGATCCTCCTCCTTACTACGAGACATCATGGTGAGACACTCATACCTCTTCTCCACACTTGCGAATAGCTCCAGAAGCTCCTAAATACAAATTAAGTAAATTCAGTCACAATAAAGAAAGAGAGTCATTAGCTACGACCAGCAGCTTTACATCAGATTCCAGGTTAACCCCCACAGAATGTTTTGGTTTTACCAAAAAGAAAAAAGCTAATAGGACTAGACCTTCAAGTTTTGACTTGCCACAGGAGCATGACAAAAGCACTAAAGCTGGGCCTGAAATGAAATTTGTTGCCTGTTCACAAGTTCGCCACCGGGACTGCCTTCAGAATGGGCTTTGAGTTGGTCTCCTGGGTCCTTTTGTGCAAGTCATGAGCAGGCCACGTAGGCCAAACTAGCTTCGAGGCACTCCTAGCGAACTGCAGCTCAGATGAGATACATGAAGCTAGATTACACTTTAAGGCACATGTAACAGCCTAAATTCATTGGCCAGGAGCACCTGCACCAGAAACAGACAAGAGCTCTCTCATTACAATACCTGTTTTTCCCCCCATCTTGTGCACTGAAGTAACGTGTGCTTTGTCAACATTAAAAGGAAAGAAAGCTTTTATACAGCAGCCCAGAACGTTTTCAATAGCCATGGGTGGCTAGGCTCAGAGTACCATCGCAATTACTTCTGTGGCGACAGTAACATTTTACAGAAGAAACTCCCCCAGGGTAGTTAAACTTCCTAGCATATATTCCCATAACCAAAGATTCCTTTTTTTTTTTTTTTGTACTGGTACCTGCACACACATCCACAAACACTAACAAGGTAGCGAGAGAGGCTGTGCTAACATAGGTTTAGCAGTGTAATTCAAGTTTTTTCCCCCCTCCCCTAAAGGAGTTTCGGACTCCTTGTTTCCACCTGTGAAAGAGGTAGGAGCTCTCTAGTGACCACTAGGAAAGCTCGCAGCTACAAGTCAGAAGGGGAGACTACAATTAAAAGGTTATCAGCAGGTTTGTTTTTTTTTTTTTTTTTTTTTACTTCCCTCATTATTAGTTCATACTGCTGGTATAGCACAGAAACAGTGTGAATGGAGAAAGCTACGTGGCTGATTTCTCACTTTCGTTCCTTTCTTCATCACTCCTGGTGATGACTGAAGCAGCCCTCAGCGTGCTTCTGGCAGGTACAGAATGATGTCTGATCGTGCTGCACAGACGTGCAGACTGCAGTGAATATGATGGCAACCTCTAAAGTATTTCATACCTCCATAAAGCTGGTTTATTTAGGCTTTTGGTAGTTTAGTAGTGGCTCTTGCATTTGTGAGAAAACATACTCAGGATTGTTAATTAACAAAGAATTAGAGGAACTTCTTACTTTGATGAGAGAAGCTATTTAGTGAAACCAATTTAATGGAAATCAATTTACTTTTGGGGGTGGGATGCACCGAAGAGAGAACTTGAGGGATTTTGAAAAACAAAACAGGGAAGCAGCTCCAAATAAAAATAGGTGATATAGGTGACTGGACAGTAAATCAAGCGAGATGTCTCAATTGAGAAGTTCACTTTAACTTTCCCAGGACAGGCTGCACTGTCACGGAAGAGCAACCACAAACCAACCAATCCCGTGGTGTGTAGTATCGTAGCAAGAGATGCAATCCCATTAGCACATGATGCGTAGAAGCAAGGTTTATGCTCTGGAACAAGTGGTACTAAGTTTTAATGTGTACCCTTACATAAACAGGGTCGTTTACCTTAATTTGCATGGTTTTTGCCTTCAGGCTGTCATCATCCATCTGTTCTGCGTTATCCAGTGCATCCACTTGAACAGACACGTCGCTCAGGCTTCTCTCCTTCAGTTTACTTAGAGCACATTCCAGTTCAGCACTCGTTTCAATATACTAAAATAAATACATGCATATTTAAGTACCATTCAAGAAGATAAATTATTCCTATCTTAGGTATGCAATTTGCAACACCAACCATCTCAGAGGTTTTTTGCAATTCCATGCTGAGCTGGTCCCGTTCAGACCTGATGTCCTGAAGAAGTTTTTGTAGCTCATCTTTTTCTTCAGTAGTGGATGACATTTGTTCTTTAAGCTGACAAGAATGACTAGTTCTCTCAGCCAATAGCCGGTCTTTTTCACTTGATACACTATCTAGCGTCTCAGTTAACTGCTGAATCTATAGCGATGGAGAAAAACAAGAACTGGGTTTGTCCTGGTCTGTACACTTCACTGTCAAGTACTAAAATTAGTTGTGTCAAATACGATTTCCAGTAATTCTAAAATTCACATTAGCAGCAAGAGAAGTTTAAACATGAATTTCAGTTTTCTAATCACTCAAAAAATAAATAAGAGAAATAGCATTACATCCAGAGAGCTCTACTCTAGTCAACTCTGGTTTCCACTAAAGCAAGAGGAAAACATGTAACCTAAATGCATTTTGACTGTTTCAGGGAAATCGAAAAACTAGCAAGAGACAAAGACAATTCCACAGTCCATCTATCTGTTCTAATCATTTGATCAACAACACATACGCTAGCTTGAAGCAATCCTTCGTTATACTGTTTGATCTACAAAGGAAGAGTTTGGCAGGTGAAAAGCAAAGAAATGAAAACCGCAGAAAGATCGAGCTGGGAAGAGCCAAGTGGCAGTATTTGCTGAATAAAAGCCAGTTTGAAAGCGTGCAAAGCACCAAGGATTCGAAACCCACTGAAGTTCAAACAGCCTATGTGGTGCCTTTTAAAGTCTCAACCAACACATACAGAGTCACCATCATATCAAACCTGGACAAGTTGGACAAATCTGTGTCCATTCCAGTGGAGCAGCCAACCCAGCTGGCTATGAGGTTGACATGAGTCCAGGATGGCACTTCTAGATATCGCTAAATAAACATTTACAAATCCTCTCTCGTGTTCATGCTTATGTCACACAACAGTGATAGGCTGACAATTTAAAATTCAATTGGACTTGTCTTGAGCAAAAACTTAGCTCATCAGGGATGAAACATCAGAAAACATAATTGTGGAGTAGCTAGCTAAAAACCAAAGCTCCTAAGCTCCTCACCTTACTTGTTAGGCTGTCCTGTACAATCTCTGACCTCCTCTGAACCTTTAACAGATGTTCCTCCCTTTCTTCAGCTTTGATCTTCTCATTGCTGAGGAGTTCTTGCTGCCGCTTCAATTCGTTTTCTGTTTCAACAAGCTGCAGTAAAAACAGAAAGAGATTTAACATATCAAAACTCAGATATTAGCTGAATCTACTCCTAACACACCAGACCATTCAATATTTCATATGAGTCAAAATACTTAACAGAAACAGAAGTTGCTTTAGTTTAAAAAGTTGCATATTTTGTCTTTGAACGTTTCTCCTAAATAAAACCTACCAACTTAGAATACTGACGATTTATCAGTATTCTGTGTCAGGTATACAAAGTATGCTACAAACACGCTTTGACTTATTTTCTGCAATCCCTGTTTCAGAGACGAGGAACACAAAGCAGAGATTTAACATGAGTGGGGTTCACGTTGAGAACCATCTAGAAAATAAATTCTAGACCTAACGTGGAACAACTTTCGGTCAGACAGTTGCCAAAAATGCTTTTAAATTACCTTTGATTATTTTCTTTCACTAGACTTCCAAATTTCAAATGAAGTTTAAGCTTTACAGCGAGGCAACAGATACACTAAAACAGATGAATTGGAAAATAGTGGTAGCACGCGTGAGAAGATTCTCTGCCTACCACAGATTTGAATCAACTACAGATCACCGAGGTGACTTCCCTCTCTGAACAAAGACTGCTGCTCGATGGACACCACCCAACCACTTCAATTGTCGTCTTCATCATTACAAAGTCAGAGTGGCTGAGGGCAGAAGGGAACTCTAGAGATCATCTAGTCCAGCTCCCCTGCTCAGGCAGGGTTGCCTACAGCGTGTTGCAGAGGCCCTCATCCAGGCAGGTGTTGGATGTCTCCACAGGACACTCCGCAGCCAGCCTGGGCAACCTGTTCCAGGGCTCTGTTATGAAGCTACTCTTTATCCAGAAGCAAAACAGAGATACACAGAGAACTGGTCTGTTTCAGCGTCAGCTCTGGAACTCCAAAACGCACCACCAAATTCACAGAAATGCCCATTAAGCATTTGGGTAGTTGCATCCATGTTTTCTGGTTCTTCATTCCTTCCCAAATAAAGAAGTCTCAGATTTTTTGAAAGAATACATCTTCGCACAGATGCTTAATGCAATTCCCCAAGACAGAAATTAAAGCACACCGGTATCTGCAATTTGTACATATAACACTAATACTGGCAAGACAGCTGTTTTGAAAAACAGCTTCGAGATTCAGCCAGCCTTCTCTCCTAAACATTTATCGTTGTTCTACTTTAATCAAAAGATAAAGCACCTTATCAACACTCTTCTGTAGGTTAACCTCCAGTTTGTTCTTCTCTGCTTGGACAGCTTCCAGCAGTTCCTCAAACTCATCTCTCTCCCATGCTAACACAGCACATCTTTTCTCTAGTTGTTGAAGTTCATTGTCTTTGTTTTCACTTTCAGTCTTCTCTTTTAGTTCTCCCAGCAGCTGTTGCCTTTCCTTAGTTACCAAATTCAAGTCCTCACTCAACGCGTTTATCTACAAAAGTAGAAGAAACAATACAAAATCAACACATGCTATTTATCAACAGGATGTTATGGTCTACTAGCAGAAACTCATCTAGCAGACCTGCAAAACAGTACAAATTAAAATAGGTCGGTAGCTGTTATTCCCGTCAGTCCTTCAGGGGACATTCTCTAAAGCAGCTTTAAGAGTTGCTTTTGTTAGTGTACTTGCCTTCTCTTTCAGTCTGTTTATTTCTTCAGTTAGTTTTTCTTCAGTCTTTTGCTGTTTCTCTTCTCCTTCTGCTATCAAGTTCTTCTGAATAGCAGCTTGCTCTTTATGATGCTTTAGTTCTTCCTGCAGACTTTCCATTTCTGTCAGAACTTCTGACAACTGCAGAACAAAGCGTGACATGGCTGATTACCCAGCATGTCTTCCTTAAATTTTACTTACAATTCTTAACTGTCACCAGTTAAGGGAATGTTTTGTCAAGTTGTGCTGTAGCAAGATCTACAACTCTGAAGATTTCATCTTAGTTCACTGATTTTACGTTTTGGAACAGTTAGGATCTCTGGTCTCTTCAGTATGGATAGACTATCTGAAGTTTGCTCAAATTCATGAGAGCTTTTAATTCTTATGAAAGGCTCTGCAAATCTCTTAGGAAAGATTTACCAGACTTCCTTTTACCTACTTACTAGCTCCATTTTTGTTGACCACACCTCAGGTTAAGTTTGTCTGAAATACTGTCAACACAAACACATTTTCAGGCAAATACTTGGAACCTTGAAGTGCGACTCTGCCCCAAGAACAAGACATCAGGAAGGAGAAATACATTAGATCATTTCTTTTCCAGGTTTAGATTTCTCTTGTTCAATTTATCCTGGACTGAAATGGTAGGAGACTTCAGCCCTTTGATTTCTGTCAACTCGTATTACCTTTACTGCTCAGTGCTAAACGCAAAGCTACCGGAGATGAAAAATGTCACAGGAACTTGTGCAGTGTTTGTCCGTCAGGCAGCAAACAACTGTTGCTAAACCCAGAGTGGCACAGTGACCAAAGGGGTGGTGAAATAAAATTAAGAAACAAGTTCCAAGATCCAGATTGGATGAGTAACCTACATTTAGTTTACTGCTTCTGAGAACAAATGAAGAAAGGAAGAGACACTGAACAGGCTTCATGACTCAAGGAATATAGTAGCATAACGTGTCTTTCAAACAAAGATTAAGAGATTTAAATACATACTCTCTTCTTGCTTTCCTGACAGTTAGCCTCTAACTGCTCTCTCTCTGCTTTAGAGACCTCTACCATTTGCTGCAGTTCTTCTTTCTCCTGATTAAGTACAGCAACTTTCTCAGGCTCCGGACAGACGTGCTCCTTCATTCTTCTTTCAGCCTGTTCTTTTTCTGCAAGTAGCGTGTCATACTCAGAAGAGACACGAGTCAGGTTTTCAGTTACTTCAGCCAGCTGAAAGAACAAATATCTCTTATTAATACTGCTGATCATTTCCAGCACAGGTGGAAAGCATTTGTTAGTTTGGAAAAAACGTTACCATGCTATTTTTTTGTGTCCCAGTAATCAGGCTGATATAAGAAAAGTGCTACTGGATCACGTTTCACAAGCATTATCTATCTACACGCGTTCTTATAACGGGATCATTTTACAGAAGACATGCCCATTAGTTTACTCAGGTAGAAAGCAAAGGATGAAAACAATTTTGCTTAAAAGTTAGAAGCACTGAAGTTTGATTATCTCACTGGCAGAAGTGTGTCAAAATTTACAATCCACTATCATTCTACAAAAACAACTCCATTACTGTATCTGCAGCAGACAGGCTTGATTCTAACAAGCATTCATGTTTTTTTTTTTTAAAGGCCCAGTAGCTTCAGATATGAAAGCAAGTAGACACTAAGTTTATACACAGCTTGTTCTGCAACTTGCTGCACTGAACTGCCATTTAGTTGCTTAAGTATCTGCAGAGTCACATAGCTGAAAGACAGCATGCTATTAGAGAAGTGTTAAAAAAAAAAATTAAGACTTAAAATAAATTGAAGTCAAATAGCAGCACTGATGTCTAACGTGCTACCCTTCAGTACTAATGCATGTTTTGTTATAAAGGGTTGTAGCTTACAGGTCAAATTGCAATTCGGTCATCTTTTCACTGTCTCTATTTTTACGGCTTTCTTTTGAAAAGCAATACAGGAAAAAAAAGGAAAAGCTTTTAATTAAGTTTTATTACTACATTTATTGAACCCTTTCGACCTGAAGTCTGCAGAGGCCATGGGCTGCCCAACCTTGATAGAAATCTGATTTCATTTGCAGAACTACATCTGACCTTCTGCTTCAGCTCAGTTGTTTCCTTCAACGCCTCTTGCACTTTCAGGAGTTGACCTTCTTTCTCTGAACTACTTTCTTAAATACAAAAAAAAAATGATTCCTTCTTCTACAGCATTTCTAGTATTAAACTGCTGTAATTAAAATAGGAAAAAAATACGGAACGACCTTTGGCCTTTCTGTCACCTGTTTTAAACTTTAACTTTTTAAGCACTCTCTTCTGCAACTAGCCACATTTTATTTAGAAAATGTCTGGGAGGAAGAAGCCAAATAAGAGGGGATCGCTTCACTTATTTTTATGCATACACTCAAAAAAAAAAAAAATGGCAGTGCAAATACTGGATTAATGACCGCTGACTTACTGGGTTTGGCAGCTGATATACTTACTTCAGGCTAAAGGCCAGTCTCATGTATTACAGGTTGTCCTGCCAAAGCAATTACCACTGAAGCAACTGCACAAGAAAATATTCTCAGCACCCTTCCTTGCAAGTTGTTGTACCCAAGCATGAAGACATGGGATCAGCTTTCTGCTCTGTGTTTGGAGCTCAGCTGCCATTTACAACCACTTGCTAGACTTCTCACTGGGACCCGAGTGTTACAAACCATAAAGCTTATGGCAACTCGTCTCGTCTTCCGTTTGTCATCTAATGCCACCACTCAGGTCGGCAGCTCTGGAACACACTAGTTAAGCACAGATTTATGAGCGTACATCAGCAGATGCTGATCTCTCTGTAGAGCATCAAGCTGTGAAGGCTTGGATCAGACAGTACACCTTTGTCACACGCTTTCTGCCAAAGGTGTAGAAATTTAAGGGCAAGCGGAAGAGACTGCAGGGCCGTTAACCAGGCTTATTTTCACACTTGTTAAAAGCATTTTCCAATATAAGTTTTGAATGATGATATATCATCTCACCTGTCTTTCAAGGTCACTGATGGTTTTCCTTAGTGTCTCCTCAACACTCAGCATCTGAGACTCTTTTCAGAAAGACTTTTCTCCAATTTCTTAACAGTTTCCTGGGACTGCTTCAAAGCACTCTGTGCATTTCTCAGTTCTTCGTGCGCTAAAATGTTCTTTAGAATAAAAGGAAGAAAATCCACAAGAGAGAAGCTTGAGGTATTTTGCCACATTACTAAGTACTCCTTGAATAAAAACAAAAAGCTCCACAAAAAACTCCACTCTCCTAACCCCCTATGTAGTTCAATATTGTTCATAACCGTTCTTATATTCTTTCCCCTTAACATGTACGGTCCACTTCAATAAAGGCAGAATTCCTACCATTGAAACAGTGTCCTTGATATCTTCACTGAGCTGGTCTTTCTCAGCTTGGAGAGTCTCCTCTCTTTGTTTCAGGTCATCTCTTTCCTGAGTGAGAGTTTTTATTTCTTCCCGACATCCACTAAGCTGTTGAAGAACTGCCTGTAACTCTGAATCCTTGGCCTCCCATCTCGATTCCATAATCTTCTCTTGCTCTTTCAATTGTTCCATTTCATTTAGCTTCTGCTGAGTCTGAATAAGATCCTCTCTTACACCAAGAAGATGCTCGTGCTCTGCTGTCTTTTTTTCCAACTCTTTCATTTTGTTAGAGAGCTTTGGTTTGTAAAGGGAAACACCAGACACTTTCATTGTCATGCGAAACAGCATGTTACATACATGTTTTCACAGACTCACATTAACTTAGAAATGATAGCATCCTCTCACTCTTCAGCAAAAGAACAGAAGTTTCACTGTTTCACTTTAAGCCTCCACTTCCATTCTGGCCCACATTAAATAGGCATCTGTTTCTGGAAACCTTCTGATGGTTTCTCCCTAGCAGGAAAAGCCTTGCTAAAACACAACACACACGACACTGTAGCCTAGCTTAGGAAGCAATCAAATCTGTAGCCGATTATGACAGCCAGAGCACTACCAAAAGGCTTGTCAGAAATACACGCATCTTTAGTTTCCTTTTCTTCTAATGGATGTTCCTCCCCCCCACCTTTATATTTCCCAATTAATGCAGTGGTTTTCTCTGGTTTGAAAGATCTGCCCTTTTGTTTCTTTTAAAGCAGAATCCTAAACGGTTCCCTGAGGAGAAAGCTTTGTTTCTACGATTTCAGAGAGTCGTAGCTAGATATTTAAAATATATTTTCATAATAAATAACATTTGAATAATAAACTTAAATATGATTTGCCCTATAAATAAACTTAAGAATGGGAAAAGAAGAATTAGAACTAGAGAACAGAAGAACACAGCGTGCTGTAAACTACATGTTTCTTTCCCCATGAAGGGCCATTTTGATGCATAAGCCTACGACTGCACATCTGGCAAAGAGCAAGTAATATCCACTAACGCTACAAGAATTTCAGCTGCAATGTTATTTATACTTTCAAGATCACTCCTCAAAGTGATTTTAATACTGCGGAAGAATTCTTTGTATCTTACATGTCTAAAGGATCAAGATGACACTGACCTCCAATTTCACATCGTCCAAGGCTGTTTCAGACTCTTCTGCTTCTTTAGATAGACGTTCTATTTGGAGTTTCATTTGTTCGCTGTTCTCCGACGCAGCTACGTATTTTAGTTCTAGTTCTTCATGCAGCTGCTTAAGTGCTACATATTCCTGATCGGAGTTGTCATACTTAAGCTGTGCATCTGCTAGATCTTCTTTCAGTTTCCCAATTTCTTCAGTCATATGCTTCAGTTTAACTTCATTATCAGCTGCCTCAGAGAGCAGCTTTTCTCTTTCCAGTTCTAGTAAGCGTAGCTCCTCACATTTTTCGAGAGTCTACGAACAAAAGAAAACATCAACAGCATTTTCTAAGTCAGTATTTATCACAACTATATAATGAGAAAACCAAAACGTGTCCATATGCAGGCTTTGGAAACAAACATAGGCAAAACACAGAGCACAGCATGGTGCTAGACTTCAGACTCTCCCCAAAAAAATAAAACCCAAACAAATCTTTGAACAACAGGGATGATGGTAAGCCCCATGGATGATGGGTTCAAAAAGACAAACTAATTGGTTTTTTTAGACATTTAAAACTTTTTTTGTTTAACATATCTGAGCTAAGAATGGATTAATACTCCTAGCTATAGCAAGGCAAATAAGCAAGCTTTGTACTAGAAATTTACATTAGTTATTAGAAATTTACATTAATTAGTTCTAGCAGACTTTATGACTCAGCATGTGATCTTTGATTTTTTCTTGAATGCAAATATCAGATACCTGAGGGAAAGCACCTTAATGGCTTTTTTTTTTTTTTTTTTTAAGAATTTCATGTTATTCGATTCAAGACTACTTTTGTCTTTAAGAGGCCTATTAGATTCTAATGTGTGATACTCTAATGTGTAACTCAGGAAGCACAATATAAAGAACACAATATATGTTCTATAATGAGAATATAAGGAAGCCCAGCTCCAGAAAAAATTGATTTTTTCCAGAATTTTTTTTGTTTAGCTCTCTCTGCTGCATCTCAACACTATTTGGTAGAGACTGAAATTCTGGTAGCTCATTTACTTGTTTTTGTAGGAGTGCATTCTCTTCCAACGCTTTTTCTAGCTCCGCTTTTATATCAGATGCCTTTTTTTCCAGCTCCACAACAGAAAGCAAATCTAGAAAAGTGAACAATTTTAGGTTAGAAAGTATGAGGGTAGAAAAGCAGGTTTTAAATTAAGCAGAAGAGGTATAATGCACTCTGAATGTCATAGACATTAAAGTCTAGAAAACATTAGAGCCAAAATCTTCCCTACCACCCACCTCAGTGGGGAAAGGGAGAAGGGGCAAGGGATGGGAAGAGAGCACCAACTCCAAATGAACAGTACCTTTTGGAACTTTACCCTCCATCAGTGAAGTTAACCTTGTGTTTTCTTGAAATACAGACTGCAATTCTTTCTGCAAGTCAGCTTCCATCTTTTTGTAGCTGGCTTTTCCTGCTTCTATTTGACTTTGATAGAGTTGCACATCCTTTTGCATTTGCTTGTAATTACTTAAGAGTTCATTCTTCAGGAAGACAAAACAACATGCAGTTCACACACAAAATCCAAGCCTACTTGCTTAACAGTTGAACATTGCATCCCATCACATTTCCTGTTGTTGCCCTCAACAACTTTGATCACGATCAATACAACAGAAGAAGTCGCAGTTAAAGAACTTAATTCCTGTTAGAGTGCTAACCAAAATGTACCTTACATTAGAGGTTGAACCATAACCGCTTTCCCCATTTCATTTTTACTCCATCAAAGCTCAAAAGCACGGTCCACCCCTCTTTTCTGCATTCATCTTACTGTTTTATTCCCTGGGAAAAATCAGACTTGGAGTCTTCTGTCCCAGGAACTCCCCAAACACTACTGCTTTATTCTCTCCATACTGATAGACTGCACGCTTACTCCTGCACAACAAGCCTTTAGTACTTTTTCATCTTTCTCCTAAGACCTGTTTTCCACAAGTTCCAGAGTGAAAACATCACTTGGAGCACGAGTCACTAGCCAAATCTTGTATTTACTGATTGTAAGACAACAGTACCTCAACCGTATTTGGTACGGCAACAAAAGTGGTTTAACAAATACTTGCCATTTTCTCCTTCAGCTCCAGATTCTCAGTTCTGAGAAAAGAAGACTCTTTTTTGGCATCCAAGGCTATAGCTTCACTATCTAAGAGGGATTTGGTCAACTGTTGAACTTCCTCAAGTAGTTTACCAAAATCTCTCTGAAAGAGAGGAAAAATAATAAAAAAGCTAAAACAGGCCATAACAAAGCAAACATGATCATTATAATACAGTTAAAGTACAGAAGAGACTTTGAGAACATGGTTCATTATCTGAGCTCTCTCCTTCTACTGTTCCTTTTAGATGGAGTGAAGTGCAACCTTTTCCATAGCTTTACTTCACCAGAGCATTGCTGTATAAAATAAGCTTCTTGCAGGAGAACTGTTGATGTAGCCAGTGTTTTAAGCTTCAAAAAATAGCTAATTCGCTTGACAGCAGATTTCAACTAAACTAAAGCTATAATTATATTTAACCCATACCCAACAAAGTAACATCCAACATAGCCTCGCAACCCCAGAAGAAAACTCACATTTACACATGCGTCCTTTTTTTCCACTCCTGCTTTCTGCAATTCTTCCACACGATTCTGTAACGTCTTTATTTTGTTCTCTTTCTCTTTCAGCTGTTCCAATTTGGAGCTTATTTCTGCCTAAAAGTTACAGGAGAAAAGGGAAAAAAAAACACAAGGGAAAACCTAGTTCCATTTTTTTTTTCTTCAGGTAGAAATCTAACAGAAAATTTAGTAACGCTTATTATGTAAGATTGAGTTTATAAATATCCCCTTTACAGCTGGTAAGACTAACCAGAGCCCTGTAAGTCTATACTCTTATCTACTATGGACAGTCTAATCAACATAAACCAACGTTCCATAGAAGTCTTACTGCATGCAAGCTTGAGACAGACTCACCTCAAGTTCTACATTGTGCGCTTCCACATTTGAAACTACATTCTTTAGGCTGGTAACTTCATGCATTAGTTCTGTCTGTGGAGCAAATTGAAGCAAAATTGCAGAGGAGGTTAGAAAGCGACCACAACCAATGGTATTAGCTGCCACCGCCACGAAAATAAGCAAGGTCTACCTTATGTTTTCTTTTCTGTTAGTTAGCAAACCATATACATGAATACGTATTTAAACAGGTACAAAGCAAGCTGCTACACCCTTTCAAACTGATAGATAAGATGCAAAGCTCCATTTCCGCTTCCCAGCAAACCGAAAGACTTCAAGTCCAACTTAATTTTAAACAGCTCAAGAAGTGAAAGCAATGTGATCAAAGCCATTTCATGCACAAATCTGTAAGGTATGAAACTTCAGATTGGTCACGTTAAGCAGCTTTTTACAACACAGCGCAGCTATCTAATGCAATCTATTCAGTGACAAGAATTAGGAAGTGTCAGAGCTGAGGTGAAGCAAGCAAGCCATAAACATGTTCAAGTTGCATCCTCTGAAAGGAGGCACAAGTAGAAGACTACAGAGAAAAGCTACAAGCATAGGGAGGAGGAAACCTAACCTGTAATTTTCAGGTCAGAGGAGAGCTGTAGAAACAGTATCAAACTACCTGTTAAAAGTCACTTCCTGTCATTATTCACAGTAGAGTTTACCCCTGTGTGTCTGCTGGCTGAAATTGATGATTTCAGCCAAATCTGCTCAGCAAAGTAGGTGACCTGTCACTTATGCTGTAATTACTTTGCTACACAGGTGTCAAATGCTTACAGTTTAGGGAGTATCTTCAGATATGGATCTGAAGGTAGGATTTATTCAAAAAGCAGTTCTTGCAACTTAAGGTACTTTAGACTACTTGTCATTAGACACACAGGTTTCTCAGGGACAATTCTAACACGATTTGTTCAATGTTGGCTTCAGAATATACCTATACATTTTTGTGGGGAACACAAATAATAGGTGAGGCTGTTAAATTGTAACCTGAAACAGGGCGAAAGGATGCAACTTCAGTTCAACCTTAGCATCATGGTAAGAGGATATGAAACAGCCTAGGGCGTACAACCAGTCTGCAGCCAACACAGCAAAGAATCAGCTCCTTCTGGAAAAGGTATGAGGTAAGATGTTGCAGGAAGAACGGCCGAAGACATGACAGACACCAGTAGGGTCAGATCATGCTCCATTTTATTACCCGAATAGCCTGACTTTTCTAGTGAACTTAAACGGGAGGATAGTGTCTCACTCAAGATTATTGGTCAAAAGCACTCAGACAAACAACTACAAGAAAACAACCCTACCTGCAAGAAAACAACCCCCTTGTGATTAGCAGTCACGTAGACCTTGTCCTTGAAGCCAGCTACTGGCAACAATATTTTTCTGAATTCCTCAATTGGGCAGTGTGGGAACACTGTCATGGGGACTTGGTTTGCTCAGCTGCGGCAAGCCGTGGAATCTTTGCTGTTTCAAAAATCCCTCAACAGTAAGAAATGGAATAAAGTACACCCGTGTCTCAATACCTCAAATGTCTCTTTTCCTTCTGTAACTTATTTGACAGACTAGCCCTTGGGCAACTAGAACGTAATGCCTAAGTAGAAGTACGTATTCCTTGTAACAGAATTAGAGCATAGAAAGAAAACAGACATTTGGACAAAAAAAGATGTCCACAAAACGCATGAGGAGGCGAAAGGAACTGGAAGTCTGCATGTCCTGTATCATATTATCCACTAGGCAGAATGTTCTGACTTTGTGGCACAGAACAGCTTTTATTTTTTCCTTTTACAGACATCACCATTCGCGTTATGACCGAGTTAAACAATGTTTCAAGATAATGCTGACATCGCTCTGATCTTTGTAACTCACTGAACTGTCCTATACAAGAAACGAGTATGCTTATTAAGCCACACTTCACTAACTTCAAAATACTCTATAGCCTATTTAGTAATAGCGCGTTTATTACGCATTGGAAAGGGAGAACCTCTTGCAGAAATCTAGACCATTCATGTATTACACATACATGCGCACAAAAAATATAGTGTGGATACACACAAATATATACATGTGTTTAACTAGACTTCCTCTAGTTAAAATTCAAAAATGAAATACGAATTTAAATAACATTCACAGTTTAAATATGAGTTTTACACTAAGTGCATTTCAAATCCTGGATTCTTTCGTTCTGCTGTTGAGCGCAACTTAGCACCACCTGTGATAAACATCCAAGTAGATGTATACTGACTTAACTCTTCAAAAAAAAAATTGAGTATACAGAATTCTTATCTATCTGTATTTCAGTGCACCTTACCTCATGCTCTTTTTGTGTTTGCTTTTCGAGCATTTCAAATTCTTCTGTTTCTCTCTTTTCCTTCAGTTTCGCCTTCATTTCATTTACTTCTAATTTCAGCTGTTCATTTTCTAATACGACTTTATTCAAGTTAGCTTTTAGGACATTGACTTCACTGACAGCAAGGTCCTAAAAAAAAGGATAACAAACTTAAGGAGAGGTTATTGGGATTTTGGTCTTATTTTTAAGACACTAATGGACAGGCTTACCTTTTCTAGCATTGAAACTTCACAGCATTGCGTAGATTCTTCAAAGTCTTTCTGAGTCTAGAAAGAGAATCACTTCTAGTTAACTGATGTACAAGCCGAAGCAAGTTTATTATATTCCTTGTTGCTTGTCTTTTCACTGCTAGTCCTGTTTAAATACCAAAGCTCACTAGCCCATTCTCCACAAAAACATCCCACAACTTCAAACAGATGACAGAGACTTGCTTTCTAACTAGTTAGACGCAAAAAAGATTGTCGATGCCCTAAAGAAGGGTAAGGCTGACCTTACTGAGAAGCATGGAATGTGTATACACCATGCAAGGCCAACTGAAGAGATTATGAAGTTACCCAGTTCATGTCAGGTCCAGGAGTCCACTCTGTATCCAAAATTTGATCGGGAAGAGTTAAACGTTGGTTGTCATTTTCAGAACTCTCAGAAAATGTAGCTGAAGAGGAAGATGCATTAGAAATAGAGTGAGAGTACATTTTAAACTAGACATCAAGAGTTCTGTCAAAGATTTCATCACATCAGAAATAATCATTCAATGGCAATGATGTAGCACAGTGAATAACGTTTCTGAATCTATCAATTTAGATTTATAAGCAAGGGATTATTCCTCATTTTCAGGTCTTCATTTCAAAGCTGCCTTGCAGAATTTTCCTGTTCTCCTTCCACCCCACAAAGATACTTAGAACCCTCTCCACCTGGTAGTAAAGACAGGGATGCTTTCATTTTTTTTGTTTCAGTCAATTCCGTTTTTCAAAGTCTTCAAATAATTCACATTCTTCTGGGTTATTTTACCAGGAGCCCATGTAACTCTTCTTCTTTTCTTGGCCTTAAAAAAAAAATTAAAATAAATATTTTTATTTATAGAAAATGGTGATCTAAGCACTACGTAGAGAGTAGATGTTGCATAAGTTAGTGCTACAACAGTCCTGCAGGCTAACCTACAGTATCTTCTGCTTTGCAGTTTCTTCAAAACTGAACTACAGCACGATTATTTGTAAGCAAAAGTCTTGTTCAGAATTGAATGAATGCTTACTCACAAGTTATTTAAGAGGTTATTCCTTAAAAGTGTGAAAATTGAGCACAAACACAATTGGTCTGGGCATATTGAAAGTGAAGTCTCAGGACTGCATAACTCAAACTTATTCCTCATTTTCACAATGACTCTATGTAAGATTTAACAAACCAGATGTGTAACAGCTGCTCTTACTTTAATATCCTGTTTTGCTGAAAACGAGGCAGAAGTCACCAGCATTTCAGTTAAGTTTCGTATCCTATCCTCCTGCGCTTTCTGAAGAGAAAGTTTTTCTTCCAGCAACTGGGCCAGTTGATCTTTTTCCACCGCGTGAAGTTGAGTCTTCAGAGACACCTTCCATAAAAAGATCAATCATGTTGACATAAAGAGTACAAACTACTGGTACAAGAGATAAGGTATTATTAGTAATTAAAAATGACACCATGTACATATATTCTTCTAAGTCTGGAAGAGCTGTCTCTAGTCTTTAAGAAAGCAACTGACAATTTAGTCCACAATTTACCCATGGGCTTAGTATTTCAAGTCTGTATATGCAAGTATTTAGAAAAGCAAAACAATATAGCTACAGACTTCTCTAGGAATTTAAAAAATAGAGAAAGCATGCTTTCAAATATAACAGTTTAAGCTCACCTCTCTACAGGGCCTGAAGCTCTTTCATAGCTATGATTTAATTGTCACATAACAATATGCTTCTCTAATGCAAGCAATGTCTCAAAATTTTGGGTACTGATAATTTTTTCTGTTGTAAAGCAACTGCATTACAGTAACTAGTTATTTGACAGCTTAGTTATCTTGCGATAATTAAGTATTTAGAGATGAATACACGCAATTTTCTAATAACCTCTTCTGTACTTAACAGAAGTACTTTCCTGACTACGTCATGTTATAACAGAACAAGCATACCACTAGGTGGAAATCTATACTTCAAATTAATTTTTTTAAGCCAAATTTTTCCTTAACCTTTTTCTATAACTCTTCCTGCCCCCACCCCAAAAAAAAATATTGCTTTGATTTAAATCATCGAAAGATGCATCATGTCTAAGTTGCGATTTTCCCATGCTTCACATATTATGATGCATTCTCTTACAACACCTGCAGGATTCTCATCAACACTGTATTGGCTATTTTTTTTTGTTGTTTGTTTGTTTTGAGCAAGATGAATGAGACTACACTGTATGGTGGGAAGTCTCAAGTCATCCACTTTTAAAACATGCGCTAAGCCTCGCTTAGCGCTAGCTTTCACCCAGATACACTGGTCATTATCAATTGCTTTACGTTTCGCTTTGTTTTCAATTTTTATTCTCTGAATATAAGCAACAATTACCGGCTTAAAGGGTTTCCCCACCCCTCCAGATTTAACTGGTCTTGATTTAAAACAGTTTCCAAATAGCTACCACTGTAAATATACAAAAGTACGCGTATATATACACACACACATGCAATATATATGCACACAGGCATATATAAACTATAAGTTTTACTGTATTTATTACATACTTCCTCCAGCTGCTTTTTCAAATCCAGAATTTCTTTGCGATATCTCTTCAGGAGGGCATCATCATTAAGAACTTCATTGACTTTTGGCGTATTCTTCATTCCTTTGGCTGTATTGGCAAACTGGAAGAGCAACCATCATCTCTCATGGACAACGGTTAAAGAACAAATGCATCAAGAGACGTATTTTCTCTCTTATTTCCCAACAGGGATAAGGGAACAGTTGAATGACAGAGAAGTGTGCTTAAGCAAAACCACACCTAATTATTTCTCAATATAAAGATCTAGAGAGCACCAGAAGGAAGACAATCCTGCCTAAAGCTCATCACTAGTTCATTTACCCTCTCTTCTTGGAGAAGCTGGCTAAAACGTTGTCGAACTGCCAAAAAGCTCTAGCTAGCCAAACTAGTACAACAGTGTGACTGAGAGAACACACGGAGTACAAAATAAACACATTTCATGTCCCAAGTGCAGAGGAACTTTAGAAGGTTCCAGTGACTAAAGACCCCTGCCCATCACATTTTTCCCCCCACCCCAAGCCATCAATATTAAAGTCTAGAGTCAGAATGATGCTTGACAACAGGCAAGAAGGTTTACCTGAAGAGTACTGAGTGTTTCATCAAAAGACACAGGAGTGATTGTACAAATAATAACCGTCTTAGCATTTCCTCCAAGAGAGTTCTGTAGAATTCGAGTCAGCTTGCTGTCACGGTAATTTATGAAACTGAGGGGAAAGTAAGAAAACAGATTTAAAAAGTCATTTTTCTATGAAAAAACAGTATTGTCTTAAGGTGACAGAACATTTAGGAGAGCCATATAGAATACTATTTGATGTCTAAAGAGATTTAACTTCTTAATTTATCAGTGACTTGTCCAAAAAGAGGTATGTCAACACAAGCACTTACCCAGAAGGGTCGTCACAAAGCTTTTTGATAACTTGGCCCAGAATGAACAAACTCCGATTTATATTGCAGCCTTCTTTCAGTCGGAGACCTAGGTATTACACAGTATTTTCTTTCTTGAAGATGTATCTAAATGTTGTTTTATTCAACATGTCAAGGTGTTGTGTTATGTTATGCTCAGAGGGATTGTCCAGAGTTAAATCTCCTGTACCAAAATGCACTGTGACACATCAGCACCCAGTATCAAGTCTTTTAGAATAACCCAAATGGATCAAAGTCTATCAGTCTATCACAAATGAGCATTAATAATCTTCACTTAGTAGGTAGTCAGGGCCAGAGGAACGTGAATTTCGTTAACAAAGTTTATTTGTATTTAGACGTGCAATTAAAATTGGCACTTGCAGGAAAAAAAAAAAAAAGAAAGAAAAAAATAGAATCTAACTGTACCAAACCAGCCTTAGATTCAACTTTCAGGGTAGTCACACCTTTTAAGAGAGGATATTCACGTGTTATTCTCAGATTATGATTTATTTTTTTTAATAATGGCATTTTTGTTCTTCATGCTGTCTTTTTAACTAAGCCTGATTGTTAACACAGTGAGCTATCTACTTACTCTTCAGCTTTATATATTTATTAACAGTCTGTACGAGCTTCTAATGATTTCTTTACTACAGATTATTCATCTTCATTATATTTGTACAGCCTACAACTTTTGCTGGACCTGCTGTTCCAGAAAAGCCATGTCACTACACAATTGTCTGCACTTTACAACTTTTGCTATTTTCCTGAGCAGATCCTCACCTGCCAAGTGGAAAATACATTACTTAGAAATAACAACATCACATGGATAGGAGCTTCCTTTCCATCACAGCCTCTCATTAAACCTCAATTAACAGAAACTGTCATAAGGAGAACTTCATTCAACACTCACCTTCAGATCCTGTTTGACTAGCTCTTTCACTGCCTGCCAGATCTACCAAGTTCTGCAACATTAAAACGTTTCACAGATTAGTTCTGGGGGTAATTTAATTTCAGATCCTCTTAATTCTAAATCTGTGCTAAGAATTTCATAAAATATAGCTATGCTTTGGAAAGAAATAGGAAAAAAAAAAAACAAACAATTGCTCTCTCATTACTGGAAGTGATACGCAACTCCACAACATTTCAAAAAAATAATTTCAAAATGCCTTAGGATATCAAATAAGATCATAGGAACTCTATTAAGAGAAATTCTATATAGGAATTCTGTTCTCTTAATAGAAACTCTATTAATAGCAGCTTTAACGTTTGCTACTTCAGAATTATTTCACTGGTTTGTCAGTGATCAGGAACACTCAGAGGGTAAGCTGTGTTTGACAAAAATGTGGACACACACTGACAATAGTCCCTTACGCTCCTGGGGAGGACATCACACTCCTCAGTCCAGCATGTATTGTCTAGCAACTCTAACCACATCAACATTCCCTCTGCTGGGAGGATAGCCTCCAGATAATGCCCCAGTAGTCTCCGTCTATACAGATGATCAGAAGCATGATTTATGTCCAAGAAGCATCTGATAGAAATTAACAACAAAACATGCTTGCAATGTCGTTCTAAAATAACATTTTTCTCACAGGCAAGCTGCAACAGTAAACTCCCTGCTTAAATGCCTGCTTAACAACTTCTTAGAGTACTTCTTACCAAGTGCGACACCATCACTGCTCCATCACAGTTTGCATTTGCAAGGTCACTTCGTTCTCGGCTTTCAATTATCTAGCAGAAGCAGGCACAATAAGCTTTTGTCACTTCAAATATTTAATAAAAACAAACAACCTTCTCATAGGAAAAGGCTTTTACCATTCTGAAGATGGTGTGAGAACGGCTGCTGTGCTCATTCATTTTTGTTTCCCCCATAATGGCGATTTTTCTGTCAAAAAGAGTATTAGAAATACTTCTGTTCTGAAATACACGTGTAGAAATACACCCCCAATAACTGGAGATAAAACAAGGACAGCCTTTAAGCTCGCAAGCAGCAATTTCTGAATATTATCTCAAAGACACTCAGGATTCTAGATGTATACAATTCAATACTTTCCTAAAATATCAGCTGACACGGGTTAAACAACTTACTTTCTCCTTTCCTGATCCATTCCATAACTTCTTCTGGGGAAACAACCACCTCTTCAGTGAGGTCTTCTACGAATGTATTTCTCTTAAGCAAACAAAGCAAAAAAGGTAAAAACCAGTATTAAATAACTTACTGAAAATTATAATTCACTTGAATACGTTAAGTTAACATTACCAAGAATTATGACTGTACTTTTAAAGGAAGTGAGATTAGTTGAATGTATTTTTGCTTTAGTTCGCCTCTTGAAAAAAAGAGGAAAATTTAGTACTATAACCTGAAGAGACAAAAACCAGAGCTCCAGCAACCATCCTAAAAATTACATTGGTAAGGGAGATTCCCTCAGAATAGGTCCAGAAAGATATATCTGGAAGCGTTATAAGGCCATAATCATAGAGCTTATACGTCTCCCCTCTTCCCAGATTCTAAAAGCATGGATCAAAATAATTAAAATACAAAAACAGTTTGTCACAAAGCTTGATATCAAGAACATAAGGATAGCATTATTTTATTTTTCCCTACAGATTATTTTACTGGATAGTACTACTACTGATAACTTTTCTGCGATTACAGTAGAAGAAAATTCTGCCCACTTTGTAGATGACATACAGAGCTGCTTTAATAGCATCTTTCTATCTTTTGAAGACTTCTAACGCATTGAGCTAGGCAATCAATACCATGTTTGTAGTTCCACTAGCTAGAAAAATCCCAAGTATTCACTGTTTTAGTTAAATAAAATACACTCTCTTGGAAAACGTCAAGAATGAAGTCTACGTTTTATCAACATTTATAAAGATAAGTCAGCAACAGCAAGCCCAGCTTCACTGTTGCTGTTCTATTACATAAAGTGCCTTTCTGCTGTCTTTGAATATATCAGTTTACAGTTTGATGAGGAAAGGTTTTCACCTAGATGCCTCAAGCTTTTTTTTCCCCTCAAGCAGATGAAATTGATGTGTCTTCTTACATTAACATAATATCCACTTACATTAACATCCTCACGAATTCCTAGAGGCTTCTTTTTCCTGGTATCACAAAGCAAATCCGTAATGGTTTCATTGTAGATTTCCATGTAGGAAACTCTTAACAAGAATTCTCTGTCTGGAATCTAATGATCGCAAGAGGAAATAAAAACAATATTAAGCAAATTAGATCAGACTAAACAACGAACACCTTTAATTAAAGTACTCTGAACTCAAAGCTATATGCTTGGATATCCTTCCACAGACTTCTTTCCCCTCGGCACGTGAGCGTCTACAAATACAGATGCATTTCCTTCTGTCCCATCTCCTTCCAGCTGCATTAATGGTATATCACGTTTATTAAGTCATAAAAGCAAATTAATTGGTGTACAGAAGCGTGACAATAGGTCAATTCAACTCCCCTTTCCATACTTAATTCTTTTCTCTCTTCTTGGTGTAGCTTGACTTCTCTCTCTTCGACCTGCTTTGCTAGGAAAGGCCACACACTAGACTACAGCACCACAGAAAGTATCCTTACTTTTATTTAAATTCAATTACTTGGCTTTAAATACCTTTGTACACCACCTCTGGGTGGTGCAATGAGTTGCACAGAAGCCTTCCCAACTTAACAGTGAGGACACAATACATATTTGGCTATCTGATGATATGCTATGCGGTATCAATCCAGCTGGATCTCATGCATGTCCATACAGATGACAGCCGGACAAGAACCAGACATAGCACAGCCACTTCACCTTCTCAGAAGAACCGACAGCCTTGTACATTCAAAGTCCAGGGTTAACGACAGCTGTCTCTAGTGGACTCAAACTACCCAAAAGCCATAAGGAGCAGCTTTGTCACCTGAAGT